ACCAACATTGCTAACTGCCCATGTGTCTGTACTGCTTGTGTAATGTGTTGTAGGACCAAGAGGCTTTTCTCGTCCATCTCATATACAATGTGATCTAAACCACCACATTTAATGGCGCAACTGGCATTCAACCGAGTATCTATCATGAGTATGGTATCCAACGAAACTCCATAGCCAGTAGTCCCTATCCATTGAATGCCCGAATTTTGATTCAAAGATGGGTCGGGTACCGATGTAGGGGTTGAAGAGGGAGCCGCTATCATGTGAATTGGGGAGAGAGATGTATTCACGTTGCACAAAGGAAATGGACTTGTATTACAGATTGGGCCTAGTTTTCCTTGGGCTTTCAATATTAAGTTGATTTGTACTTATTGGGCCCTCTCCAAAATCAAGCCCACAGATTTTACAATATGAACATCAACCCTATTTGCTAGCCCATTGACATATTTCTCCTCCCGTCTATTCGTTGATGCCTTTATCTTGTCCAGCTTGTTTTGCAGTGGATTTCCTGGTTCAAAAACTTCAATGAAGGAGAAGCTAGGGCTTCCAACATCTCTTCTTCTTTGGTAGTATCTTCATGTTCCAGTCCCACACTTTCAAGATTTCCACTCATGGCTGCTTAGGATGAATCAATGTTTCTATAGCCTTCTAGGTAGCCTCCATTGGTTGCAACATCCTGGCCATGATCTAGGTTAAACATTCCACGGACCCTTCCAATCCAGATAAGCACTGAATTTTTGTTTTCAATTTCTTCATCTTCTTTTCCATTGCATTCACTCGGCTTCCTATCTTCTTCTCGGCCATCAAATCGGACCTGCTCTGATAGATCCAATGGAATTTTGGGATGATTAGATCATCAAAACTGGAGTATCCAATAGGCTGTGAGAGATCTCCATAAGTAGGATTATAAAGACCCAATTTATATGAGCTGTAATAAGAAAAGATCCATGGAAATACTGGACCCTGCAGCCCCTTATTTTTATTATGATGCTCGTGTGGATTTTTCTCTTTCCACCGATGGTAAAGTAGGTTTCCTAGTTGCAGTAGATTATTGCTCGAATCTGGAGAAATTAGTTGGTTTTTATGGGTGTAAATAGTAGTTGGGCCATTCATCCTTACTCCATTTAGGCCCATTACGCCTTGGGTTTGATTAAATGAAATTTTGCAATTTCCTTGTTGGGCCATCTCTCTAATATAATCCAAACCCACTATCTTCACCCATTTTTCTTCTGTCATCTTCTCTGGAGTCAGCTTAACTAGTTGCTCTTCCATTACAACGGCTAAAATGTTCGCCAGGGGGATTACCCATGCCTCCGACTGCTGGTGGTACTCCTCTTCAAGTGCAGGGCTCTCTAATTGTCGATTTCGGTACTTTGGTCGCCATTATTCGCCCAGTCCTTCTTTCACTTCTCTATTTCCTTCCTCCACAGCCAGCGTGACTACTAAATTCATTGTAAATTCTAAAGGGACGTCCTTTGGCCCCTTTTTCTTCCATTCTCTCTCTTGCCACTTCCCAAGTTCGACTGCAGGATGAGTACTTATGAATTCCGACTGTAGTGGTTCCTCCGTCACACTAGTCTTCTCTCCTTCTAGCGCCAGTGGAAACTCATACTTCTCTTCTTCCTCCGACGACGGTGGCTGTTCATTCTTTGTCTCCCAGAGTGCTGTCGTCCAGTTCACCACCCTTCCCGACTTACCTTCTGGAATTTCTTCAACAATGAAGATATGCTCCTCATGGAATCAAGCTAATGTCAACTTCTTCAATTCTTCCCAGGTTTGTATCGGACAGCAATAGTCTATCTCTTGAAACCATGCCCAAGCCTCTCCAAGGAAGCAAGCGACTGCGACTTCAACCTTCTCCCTCTCCGATAAGTTTCGATTCATGTTTATGCATTGCTCTGCCTCAAACAGCCACGAATCTAAATTATCCTCATAGAATATCTGTGTGTTGAGTATGCACATGATCCAACCCTGAATCGACCTCCTTTCTATTGCATCACCATCTTCTCCGACTCAAGCTCAAAACTCTTTTGATTCTCTGCCGCTAAAAATAGTTTCCCTTAGTCTAAGAATCGACCGCTCTGATACCAATTGATAGGATACCAACTGGAAATCAGATGAATAAGCTAATGAGATAATAACCTTTGATTGAATAATAAGAAAATTACAGAAATTAGATGATAAAAGCCTATAGAAGGCTGTAACCGAGAACCACTCTACTACCTTCAAATATTGCCTATCTTCTACCCTCCCTTCTACCTTTATTTATAGTAATTTCCTAACTAATTCCCCTCCCACTTGCCCTTGTAACAGAATTCTGTTGCTGTCCCTCATTCTTGAGTCTTCTGGGTTCTTCTAGAGTTAGATGCTTATCATATGCCAGCAGAACAAAAATTCAGCTTTATCGCCCGCAGGCCTCCTACAACCCCTGCCTATTCTGTGTCTGGTTTGGGAAGATACTTCCATGGATTTCATAGAGGGACTACCAAAGTCAGGGGGATTTGACTCCATATTGGTGGTGGATCGCCTAAGCAAGTATGCTCATTTTCTCCCCCTCAAACACCCGTTCACAGCACCGATGGTTGCAGCCATATTTGTCAAAGAAGTGGGAAAACTTCATGGTATCCCGAGATCCATTGTATCAGATCGGGACAAGGTCTTCTTAAATCAATTTTGGACGGGATTGTTCAAGCTACAAGGCACTAGTCTCCGTCGAAGCATGGCGTATCACCCACAAACAGACGGCCAGATAGAAATTGTTAACAAATGCGTGGAAGCTTATTTGCGGTGTTTCACATTTGATAAGCCTCGAAACTGGACTATTTGGCTACCATGGGCCGAATATTGGTATATTACTACCTTCCATGCTTCCACAAAAATCACTCCTTTTCGAGCAATTTATGGGAGAGACCCTCCTCCACTCATTCGATATGGTGTCCAGAACACAGTTGTTTCAGCCGTAGAACAACAACTGCAGGACAGGGATCAGATTTTGGATGAACTGAAACATAATCTGCTCCAAGCTCAGGCCCGAATGAAGTTATCAACGGATCAGCATAGGAGAGACACTGAGTTCATGGAAAGGGATTTTGTCTATGTAAAGCTAAGACCATACCGCCTACGGTCTCTAGCGAAAAAACCCAATGAGAAACTGGGTCCCAAGTATTTTGGCCCATATAAAATTATAAAGAGGGTGGGTACAGTAGCCTATCAGCTGGAGTTGCCACCAACAACTACAATTCACCCGGTTTTTCGTGTGTCTCAACTAAAAAAGGCTCTAGGAAATTTGGAGTTTAGCCAACCACTTCCCATGCATCTGGACACTAGTATGGAGTGGATGGTTGAGCCAAAACAAGTGCTTGGGGTGCGCAAGGTAGGAATTGAGCAGCAACCAGAAACAGAAGTGCTAATTCAATGGAAGGGGCTACCTAAAGAAGAGGCATCCTGGGAATTAGCTAGTTTGTTCCAGCAGCAGTTTCCCAATTTTCACCTTGAGGACAATGTGATTTTGGAAAACGGGGGTAATGTTAAGCCTCCAATCCGTTTCATTTATGCTAGAAGAAACCAGAAGAATGGAGAAGTCACTAGAAGGGATGTGTAACAGCATTCGGTTAGAGAGCACGAGAGAGGAGGGAAATTCTGTTAGAAAGAAATGTTATAAATAAGGGTAGGAAAGAATAGATAGGAGGCAAATATTTGAGTGAGTAGTAGAGTGGTTTCTTCTTGTTTATAGCCTTCTTCAAGCTTTATGTTCATTCCAGTTTCTGTAATCACCCGCTTTTAATCAAATAATAACTTATTCCACAATTTAACTTGTTCTTTCCCGTTGGTATCCTAACACATTCACAAGACACAACACCAAAAATAACAGTGATTTGAACGAAGAGAAACTAAGTACTCTAGGTCGACCGCCCAAATCGTGGAACTAGTTGGACTAAAAACAAGATTTGAATGATCTTTCGCTTAATAACAAACTGCTCTCAGCAATTAATTTCTGATCGCTTGACTTGAATGATCAAATGGGAACAAGTGATAACTAATTTGAATCCACTTCTCTTATCATAGAATTCATAGCACATTTTCACAACAATAAAAACCAGAACAGAATTTAGTATGAAGTGTTTAGGAAAATAATATACTCCCTCTACCACACTAAGGGATTTCAAATTGAACTATCGTTTAAGGAGTATGCACCGATTGCATTTCTTCAATTTAGTCTAGCATTCATGTACGAAAACACCATTAAATGAAAAGTCTAATTAAATGTAATGGCTAAGTACTTGACAAAACAATTGTATGGAGATAAAATCAGAAATATTAATCAATATTTTGAAATGATTTTATTTTGGGGCATCCCAAAATGTGAAGTGTGGAATAATGATGAGATGGAGGAATATTGTCTACTACTAGACAATATCCATCCAGATAAAATACAAATAAAATGTGAAAGATAAATTTGTTTTGATATACTTTAAATATATTATATATATAAAACATGACAATACTCCGATTCCACTAATTGGTCTCATTCTGACTCGTCGTAAAGTAGATCAGAAAAGATAACCTTAATGTCAATGGACCAGCAGAATGTACCACCACAGTTTCAAACTTATAGGAGATATAGTAACTAGTAAGTTATAAGGAATCGGCCTACGCTACATATCAAGTCAACCTCAAGGCCTGTTTCTCAAAGTTTCTTTCATGGTATTCATTCTTGAATCTTTCAATGGCACAGTATGGTCAAAGTCTAGTCACGTGGTAATGGGATAGCTTAACTCAATGGCACGCTCAGTCGTTGAAAAGCAGGTGAAGAACATCAGAACCGCCTAGAATGGCGAACACTGGTTTTGTTGGTTAAAAGTTAGTAATAATAGATCAGGAAATAGCAGTAAGATGATAATCTTAACGATTGAAAAACCACTGAATTATTTCAATTCATAAATAGTGCAGAGATATAATTTTGTGCAAATGAAAGCCAATACACATTATAAATTGCATACCTCTATATCTTCATGCAAAGAATTGATCACCTGAAATTAAATCTTAAAGTTCAGTGAGGAGGAAATGCCAAGTGCCGAGGAAGACATTTCCTACTGTTAGGTTCCCATAAAAAACAAGGGTAAAACAGAAGCAAGGGAAAAATCATACATGGAAGGCATATTCTCCTACGGTGTTCTCAACAGCAAAAAAAAGGTTAAAAAAAATATTTTTATTTATAATGTTGTTTAACAGAATTAAAAGAAGAAAAAAAAATCACATTCTGCATGCAAAAAATAAAAAATAAAGCAAGGGAGTTCATTTTTCACATAATTTTTTTTTTTATTTTCCTTTATTATAGCTTTCCCACATCCATTTCCACAATGAAGCACAAGTTACAGCCAAAAGGAAATATTTTTAAGCATCAGATGTCATAACTTGATTATAAGAACCAAATTATGGGTGGGCATTTTGATCGGAGCAAACCTCCCCAATGGAACCGGAAGTTCCAGTCCGGTTCCAAATAATAATAATAATATTAATTAGTGACCAAAACCGAGAACCGTGGATCTCAGACAGTTCAAAGTTCTTGAACCAGAACCGTAGGAACCCGACCTTGAAATCAAATTTGTTATTTTTTATAAATTTTTGTTTTTTACAATTATTCGCCCAAATCCATTGACAAGGCCCAACAAGTAACAAGTTTGCAAGGCCCAAATAGTAAGTACTCTAATCAATTAAATTCATTCATTTGAACAATTGAATCATATTACTCTCGTTCGTAATCACTCCTCACTGTACTTTACGTGTTGTCGGCCCCATAAATCCTCTTGAGGTGACATACCGAGGGCCATGGACAGAATTCGATGCTATTAGGATAAATGTTGGATGCTATTCGGTTGCAAAGTTGCAGTGAATTAAAAAAGTGCTGAAATATGTATAAGTGACATTTTATTTTTTCGAAATCTGCTAGATATCGGGAAGATATATATTGTCAGCTCACGTTTTTTATGAAAAATGTTATGGATAGAATCGAACTGAAACCGATAGTGGTTTCAATAATGATGTGGACCCGAATGGTTCCACTTACGAGATACCCAAAGTGTAATGGATGGTTCAAGGTATTGAAATATTCAAACTGATCCATCCGACGCCTAGGCCTAACCAAAATAGCCTCCAATATCAGTAAGACCCTTTTCCAGTTATACATGTTTGACTAAGCTTAAAATTTTTTACTTAAGTAAATAAGCTTTAAATGAGATAAACAGTTTATCCATAAAAAGCTAAAAATAATGAAGTTGCTTATTAAGAGGTACTAATTTACTATCACAAATATAACTTATTTTACTAAAAAAAGAAAAGGGTCAGTGATCCAAATTACCCAAAAATGTTGAGAGACAAGATTTTTTAGGCTTAGCCAAACAATCTCTTCGAGAGGGGGGGGGGGGTTGAAGGGGGGCAAAAATTAAATTTTATATATATAATAACACAGAAATTAAAAAATAAAACCCTACTCGGAATAAACTTAAGCAAGCATTGATATATCAAACCTGAATGAACAGACGGTGGAGGCGTGCGTGTTCTGCTGCAGTAAAACTCGGAAAAGCTTTACAAAATTCCTATGAATTAACAAAAAAGGAAAAATCAGTTACTGATTCAATTGAAATAAAAACAGTGATATTACTGTAATTGACTAAAAAAAAACTAACCTCTTTGGAACAAGCAGTTAATAAGGAATGCAATGCACGCTTGAATGATTTCTTCAGATTCAATTGCCTAGATCCTGGAATTGAGGCCTTCATTTCACTATCTTTTTCCATTTTATTTTTTTTCTCTTTTTCTGGTGAAATGTTTGAAAAAATATTGGGAATAAGTAAAGAGAGTACCAATTTGAGAAAGGGACAGAAAGAGGCGGGAAATTATATTGGTCTTCTTTTAGAGAGAAAATAATAGTAAAACATATATAAACAAGAAAAATTCGCAAAGTGGTGTCCCATAATTTTTTTAAAAAATTAGAAATATATTTCATTTAAAATAATTAAATACATATTAGCACAAAAAAAAAAAAAAAAAAAAAAAAAATTTAGCCCCTCTTTGGGAGCATTTTCAAGGGAAAAAAATGAGATTTTTGACCGTTAATTTCAAATTTCAGCCGCACTTTTTGACTGTTTCTCTCTACCGTGGATCCCGGTTGGCATCTCAATGGTCAGAATTTTTCTACTAATTTCCTAAAAAATGGCTGCCGAACAGAGGCTTAGTAAAATTTCTTTTATTTTGTATTATAAATTTTTTTCAATAATATATTTAAAAATAATAAAATTTATCGCCAATTCAGCAAAAAGTTGGGATTACAAACATTGAAAAAAACAGAATGGAAAAAAGTTCAAAAAGAATGAAAAGGTTAAGAATGGTCTCGTTTGACATTAATATAAGAATAAGTGCATGTTTGAGCTACATTATTTTTAAAAAATTCATTCTTAAATAGTGATTTGACATCATTTCAACCACACATTTTTCAATAAAATAATATTACACGCAATTCAAAAAAATTCTTATTTTTTAACCACACATTTCTCATCAATACATTATTCAATAATGCATTATTATCAAAATAATGTGGCTCAAACACCCCTTAAGAATGAAAAATATAGTCATTACAGGCCCACACAAGAAATAGAAAGTCAAATATGGTATCTTGATGTAATGGATAACGATTATATTTTTTATTTTCATGGACAAATAATGGGAAACAAATTGGGGCAAAAAATTTGAAGATCATAAAAAGAATCATTCATTCAAGCCCTAATTTTCAAGATGCTAAATTTTAGGTAGGGATGACAACGGTTCGGTTTTGGTTCGATTCGACCAAAATCATCACCGAACCGTCAAATTTTTTGTCATACCATAACCACGTAAATCGGTTCGGTTCGTATCTCGATTTGGCTTGGTTCAGTTCGATTAACAACCACGAAAATAAATTATTTTTTATAGGTCCATCCGTCAAATTGAGATAAAGCAATTTATAAAAAGAGAGTTAATGAAAAAAAATACACGATATTCCAAACGAAAATGCAAACATTATCCCAAATTCTAATTGCAAACTACAAATTTAACAAACAATATTATAAATATAATAATAATAAACTTTTCATTCATTCTTGATTCTTGTGCATTGTAGTTACTTGATTCATGATCAATAATTCAAAAGTTTGAACCTTAACTCATATTTAATCTCTATTCTTCCTCCACAACTCTTACTAGCATAGGTCAGCACTCAAAATTAATTCTTATATAGTAACTAAGAAATATAAGTAAAGAATACAACGATACCACCTAATCCAGAATGGTTTTAACTAAGATTTAAATAAAAAAATGTATCTCTTCGTCAACTTTCTCCTCACTAAACATTGTCATCCCTAATAAAAGAATGATTTTTTTTAAGCGGGTAATCGGTTCGGTTTCGGTTCGACGGCATAAATATCATACCCGCACCGTCACGAACCGGTTCATTAAAATCAAATATCATATCCGTCTCATTGCACCATCGGTTCAGTTTTTTCGCCCCATTCGTTCCGGTTAACCGCGATTTTCGATTTTAACGATTCAAATTGTCATCCCTAATTTTAGGTTACTTTCAATTGATTTCTGACAACGATATAATAAACATATTCTTTAGCAAATAATATGACATTGGAAATGTTACGAAGTGAGTATTCTAAGAAGGAAAATACTTCTTACACATAATGTGATGTCCACCCCTCGCATGGAGGGGATCCATTTCTAAGAAACTTAACTATTCTCAATTCAAACTTCTCTATAAAAACTTATGATTGTTTTTCTCGAAACCTAGCAGTTACCTTATCTACCATTTTCATATTTTCATCTTCTAACAGATTTCCTGTGAAATTCAATTGTATCCATATGCACAAATTTGTTATTTAGACTTCATCTGTCTAGGAAATATTAAAAGAATGTTTTGATACTTATGCTTAGATATGTTTGACATGAATTTTGTTTTTGCAGAAGACTTTTTGGATAAAACAACCTTAATTTTTGTTTAAAAATTAAATCTTAAAAGAGCTTTATATTTCAGGAGTACTTTTAAAAGAAATCACATTAAACCAACTTTCCTCTTAAAGCTCGTCCAACTAAAAAAATACTTTCATTTAATTAGTTATCAAAAGTCAAGCTAAACGGTCCCTTAAATATTTTGTCCATAAGCAAATAAAGTCACCATCTTTAGTATAATAATTCTATTGAGAAGTCTATTAAATTTTTAACAACCTCAAGAAATTATTGTACACAGTCATCTGGAAAAATGGCTCCAGGAACAAGAAAATCAAAACATAAAATGAATGTCAAGTTACATGCATGGAAATCACAACAGCAAAAAAAAGGTCCTCATTGAAATCCCTCAGCAGTGCAAAACATGCACAAAAAGTGCTATGTGGCTCCAAGAACCAGTAATCTTCTTACACAAACACCGTATTTCTACGTACACTAAAGATTTCCTGCAAAGAGATACAGAAGTAGCACAAGGTTTTACTGCCACATATGGATGCCGCTTGCTGCACTCCTATCAGGGTCCTCTAAATTCCTCGGTGTGAACTGTGACTAGTCTCATAGGACCAAAATCACCATCTCTTAGCCAGTTGCTCGAAAAAACATTACCTCAACCAAACAATGATAATTCTCCAGAAAAACCTAATCAAGCAGCATATGATGTATCCATTCAACAAAATTCTAGTCGAGCAAATCCTTGAATAAGTTCGGATTCTGACCAGATGGGGTCACACCCACTTGCCTTACAAGTGCATCCTTCTCCAAAAATTCTTGAACATTTGATCCCTTGCTTGGTTGCTTTGCCAGATGTGCTTTGGTCACATTTGGAGGTGGCGCAACAGTAGTACTCTGGCTGCTAGAAGACATGTCTGCATAGATAGACATAAGATCAGGTGCATCGGGCATGCTAACTCCGCTGGAACTTAGATTGGTCGTGTCTTGTGTTAGATTCAGAAGACCTTCCAATTGCTTGAAAGGATCTACAGACGGTGCACTGCTAGTAACAGTTTGTTCACCCAAGTCTAGCAAGTCTGGAGGTGATTGGGATGTTGGTCTTACAGCAGCAGTATCAGATGAACTAGTAGCCTCGGCTATAATAGACTTGTCTGAAGCATGACTGTTGGTCTTTGAAACCTTCTGGCCAGAATAAGATTGTTTTCTGTCAGATTTTGATGCTCCTCCGAAAAGAGAAGCAGCCAATTTTTTCTTTTCTGATGAAACCTCAGTGTGCTGCTTCCTTGAATCATAAGAGACATTGTGTACTTTCGACTTTGTACTGCTTATTGACTCATGTTGAGTCGTCCCATTATTACTTCCAAAGGTATCACTGCTTGAAGGAGATGGTGTGGTAGAGGAGAAAGCAGGACGACCCCATTTCTTTTGAACACCTTCTAGCCGTAACTTGAGTTCGGATGAGCCTGAACTAGAGACCGTTGGAGCAGATGAAGCAGGTTGGTGGACTTCTGCAACATAAGATGGCTGAGTTATGGGAACAAGTTCAGCTGAGGATGACAGTACTGAGGGAACTTTTGATGGTACTGAGGGTTTAGGAAGCTCATATGCTTCAAACCTAAGAGCATGTGTTGAAGATTCATGATCTTGGCTTCTGAAGTTACTAATGTTTGACAATCCGGAGCGTACATCCTCAGGAATGTAAGGCTGAGCTCCCTTTTCCAGTGATTCTTGGACATAAGCATCAAGAAATGAAAGGTTCTGGTCAATCTGCAAAAATTTAAGATGCTACAAGTATCACTAAAACAAATTTATTGAGTGAAAATTGTCAAATAGCAATTAATATTATGTGAACAATAGCCAATTAACAAAACTCATAATATATATAAAACGTAGATATACAACAAGCCATGTAAAGAAACTCAGAATACTGAAAAGACTCATGATTCTTCAGTGATATTTTCAAAGCAACGGAACGACTGTCTTATTATTCTTAAATGCAATACATAATGCAACAGTAATTTCAAAGGAAAGTCATAATTGTGAAAAATATCATATGGTACCATGCTTATTGTTGTATAACTCAAAGTCGCCTCTGTGGTTTAATAAGTAAAATAGTATACCCCAACGATCATATTGAGTGCCAATTTGTGGGAGCTTGAGTATCATGGGGCTGAAGTACAAAAAAATTATTATTGTTTTATCGTTTTAGTAATATCATTTATTCACTGGGTGCCAGGCACTACTTTTGAGCATTTTGTCCTCAGAATATAACTGATATAGTGTGGGAAAAAATGAAGTGATTTACATTGTGGGACAACTTAAGAAAGAAAAGGTAATATCCAACTTGTATATTAAATGAGATTAAACAGGTATAGGATCTTCCTCTGTGCCCACAAACCATGGAGATCCATGCACATCCAAGTCTACAACTCTTACCATTCTGCTACCAGTTTTGCCAGTATTAAAATAAAAGCAAGCTGGACAAATAGACCATCTCGGCTTAATTACGTGAAGAGGCTGTCTCAGATCCGTAGAAACTTTAAGCAACTAGCTGTATCAACAGCACTATGGCTAGGACACAAGCAAATTTGAATTCCTAGAATGCGTTCTTCCCATATTTCTGATCAAATTTCAAAATGATAACTGCTACAGCCTATTATTTCTTTTAATTACATTTTCCTTCTCTTCCTATTTCACTTTCCTAAAAAAAGAAGGCAAATATCCCCACTTAAGAACTGTATTGAAAGTTTAGAGCATGTTTGGTGTTGATTATGAGAATCAATTTTTTGACCATTAGAGAGAAAAGTAGGTCACACATGTCAGTGAAAAGGTTAAAAATGACA